GTGACTCTCTATCTGCCCATAGTAGTAACACTCACAAAGCTTATGTAGCATTTCCGAAGCACACGAACCAGGGCTGAATTCTAAAACTGCATCCTGGCTGGGCACAGTGGCTCATGCCTGTAATCCCAACACTTTAGGAAGCCAACGTGGGCAAATCACTTGAGGTCAGGCATTCAAGACCAGCCTGGCCAACATGGCAAAACCCCATCTCTACTAAAAAAATAAAAATAATAAAATAAAATAAAATAAAATTACAGGAGGCTGAGGTAGAGAATTGCTTGAACCAGGGAAGCAGAGGTTGCAGAGAGTTGAAGTCGTGCCACTGCACTACAGCCTGGGTAACAGAGTGAGACTCCATATAACAAACAAACAAACAAACAAACAAACAATATTAGCCAGACCTGGTGATGCGTGCTTGTGGTCCCATCTACGTGGGAGACTGAGGCAAGAGAATTGCTTCAACCCAAAAGGCAGAGGTTGCAGTGAGCTGAGATTGCATCAATGCACTCCAACCTGGGTGACAGAGCAATATTCTGTCTCCAATAAATAAATAAATAAATAAATAAAATAAGATAAATAAATAAATAAAATAAAACAAAATAGTATTGTACATCTCACTTTGATTCCTCCTAAAAGAACCACCAGTGGCCAGGTGAGGTGGCTCACACCTATAATCCCAACACTTTGGCAGGCCAAGGCAGGCAAATCACCTGAGGTCGGGAGTTCAAGAATAGCCTGACCAACATTAAGAAACGCGTCTCTAATAAAAATACAAAATTAGCCTGTAATCTCAGCAACTAGGAAGTCTGAGGCAGGAGAATCGCTTGAACCCAGGAGGCAGAGGTTGCGTTGAGCCGAGATTGCGCCGTTGCACTCCAGCCTGGGCAACAAGAAACTCCGTCTCGAAAAAACAACCAAAGAAAAACCAGTGGCATGCCTGCTCAGGCCCAGTTCACTGGACTCTTACGTTGTGGAGTGTGACCTAAATCAGAATCTCTGAAAAAGAGCATCAACAAGGACTTACCATGGGACAATCAATGACTGCCATGCTCTGAAGCTGATGGCCTCAATGCTGTCTTCCTTGACGCCAGGCATGAGCCACTATGCCCAACCAGAATGCTGTTTTAGAATTCAGTCCTGGTTTGTGTGCCTTCGGAAACGCTGCATAAGCTTCATGAGTGTTACTACTACGGGCAGATAGAGAGTCACATTTTTCAGGGTGTAAGTTTTCTTGTAAAATGAAACTATTACCCTTTACACAACAGGCAGCTCGGCCCACATCTGCTTTTCTGGGTGTAGCCGACACAGGACTACTACCTTTGTCTTTTCTTCAAAAGGGCATATTGGTTCCAGGAAAAAAAACCCTAGTGGAAAAGTAAGTCACTTCAGGATAACTTACGAATCTAGGTCAATAGAGGCAATCTCCATTCCTCTTTGTATGGGTTATTTGAGGTCCTGTTCATATCAATCATCAAACAACAAGCATCAAACATCAGTCACTGAATATTATGCATGAGCTTTCTCTCTGCAGGTGACAGATGTGAAGGCCACCAAAAACTGTACTCAGTATCATCACTCAGTAATGATAGTATTAATAACAGCAACTGACATTTACTGAGGACTAGTGTGTCACAAGTGTCTCTAGTAGCTTTATATATACATGCTCAATTATCATAACCATCCTTCCCAATAGCTATTATTACCTCTATCTATCTACCGAGACAGGGTCTCACTCTGTTGCCCAGGTTGAAGTGCAACGGCACTAACACAGCTCTCTGTAGCCTAGACCTCCCAGGCTCAAGTGATCCTCCCACCTCAGTCTCCTGAATAGGTGGGACCACAGGTGTGCATCACCATGCCTTATTATAATTATATTATTATTATTGAGACACAGTCTCACTCTGTCACCCAGGCTGGAGTGCAATGGCACAATCTCAACTCATTGTAACCTCTGCCTCCCAGGTTCAAGCGATTATCAGGGCTCAGCCTCCTGAGTAGCTGGGATTAGAGGTATGCATCACGCCTGGCTAATTTTTGTATTTTTAGTAGAGACAGGGTTTCGCCATATCAGCCAGGTTGGTCTCAAACTCCTGGCCTCAAGTGATTCTCCCACTTCAGCCCCCAAAGTAACTGGGAATACAGGTGCACACCACTGTGTTGGGAAAAGAAAGAGAGATCAGATTGTTACTGTGTCTATGTAGAAAAGGAAGACATAAGAAACTCCATTTTGATCTGTACCAAGAAAAATTGTTTCTTCTTTGAGATGCTGTTAACCTGTAACTTTAGCCCCAACCCTGTGCTTACAGAAACATGTGCTGTAATGAATCAAAGTTTAATGGATTTAGGGCTGTGCAGGATGTGCCTTGTTAACAATATGTTTGCAGTAAGTATGCTTGGTAAAAGTAATCACCATTCTCCATTCTCTATTAAACAGGGGCACAATGTACTGAGGAAAGCCACAGGGACCTCTGCCCACAAAAGCCTGGGTATTATCCAAGGTTTCCCCCTACTGAAACAGCCTGAGATAGGGCCTCATGGGAAAAGAAAGACTTTACCATCCCCCACCCCAACACCCATAAAGGGTCTGTGCTGAGGAGTAGTAGTGAAAGAGGGAGGCCTCTTTGCAGTTAAGAGGAAGGCTTCTGTCTCCTGCTCCTCCCTGGGAATGGAATGTCTGGATGTAAAGCTTAGCATTCCCATTCATTCTATTCTGAGATAGGAGAAAACTGCCCTGTGGCTGGAGGTGAGATATGCTGGCAGCAATACTGCTCTGTTACTCTTTGCTACACTGAGATGTTTGGGTAAAGAGAAACATAAATCTAGCCTATGTGCACATCCAGGCACAGTACCTTTCCTTGAACTTATTCATGATACAGA